GGCCTGCCTACTATTTCTCGTATGAATGCTTACCCATGGATGGATGCACGTATGCGTGCTGTACTCCTGTTAGTGTCTTTCAAGAGCAACATTCACATAACAGAACAAGGAACGTTGGGGCACCCGGTTTGGAAAAATGGAAAGTTCAAGAAAAGTCGCCCTAGGTCAAGAGGTCTGCGACCTCTGCTGAAGGACTCACCAAGACGGATCCTTTCTAAGGCGCCCTAGACGTAGTTTCCTGTCGAAAGTGCACTTTTTGGCCTGGATTTGGGCATTTCTTTGTTTGGGACGTATTTTCTGGCTACAAAGTCTCATATGTGACGCAAAACCTGGACACATCAAATTAAAAACCTTCTAAAATATGTAATTTTTACCAGATTTCCATTTGATTAATTCCGTATAGTTTGCATTTAATTCACTAATTAAAGAATCTCAGAGGACAGAGCTGCACTCAACTCTAGAATGTATTTTGTCTGATGGTTCAGACATGTACTTGTAACCCTCACAAGCAATGTTCTAAAGTGCAGAAAGTCTTGATGGTGTACGTTGAACGTCCTCCCTGCTGCAGCGAGGCGATTCGGAGTCATCTGGGCGGTCTTTTGAGTGGGCTGAATATGTTTGTTGCATTTTCACACATTCATACAGGTTTTGGTAAGCAAATATCATGTCGTCGAACGGAACCAGCCCCTCAGCAACGGTTGGCCGAATTTGCCACAATGAGCTGAATAGAGGTCCTCCTCCGGCGGGGTTAGAACTGTGCATGTGAGATCACTAATTAATTCTTGGTTACTAATGAAACGAGCGGTTGCGATTCTACACATTCTCTTCCATTTCAATCTACATGCTTTATTTAGACCAAGACACTCCCCGAGGAAGAGCTACAACAATGGACCAATTACGGGACTCGAACCATATACCTCTGCCATGGCGTCAGCTTCCATCTTGACAATATTTTGCTACTTCCGAGTGAATGATTAGTTCTCTTCAAGGGTTCCAAATCGATGCATGAAAATATCATCAGTGCTTTTCACGATATGGAAGTGGAAGAAGTGGGTTTGCACAAAAAACGACTAGAAATCCGTGAATCGCATGATTGTATCGGATCAATCTTGTTTCATCTCTCGCAAATAGGCAATTCTCTAAGCAGAACAGTTTTAGTATGCCTTACTCTAGTTCTAGAGACTGGGTTTCAATACTGTCATAAGATCTTGAATACGAATTGCTGAGCTTACTTCCATTCTGAGTGGAGGTGCTTGGTGAAGCGATTCGAAGGTCGATCCTGCCGGAAGACGACGGTAGATTCCTGGAACATTCTTGGTGACGCTGTTTCCAAGATAATCTCCTTCAATTTCGGTAAAAATGTGCTAAACTTTCGTCCGTCACCTGATAAACACCATCAGAGCAGAATATCCTCCTTACGACCATATTCAAGTTAATGAGTCAAGAAAACTTACTGCTAATTTCGTAGATATGCGAGCACGTGTCGGTACATATACACGCAGATAGACACACTCACGTGCTTTGAGGTTGACATCAACCTGAACTGGCCAAATCACTTCACACCTCATCAACGAGCTCAGATATAAAGTAAAGATGAAGCATTTTAGGGATGAGCCGGTGAGTCTTCTTGAATTGTTAGCTTGAATATGTTTGTAAGGATGATGCCCTACTTTGATGCTTTTCGTCATACGACGGACTAAAGTTTAGCACATTTTCACCGTAATCGAAGAAGATTGCCTCGGAAACAGCGTCAGCATGAAGGTTCCAGTAAAGCCAATCGACAGCTGGTCAAGAGCAATCTGCCGTCGTCTTCTGGTGGAATCGACCTTCGAATGCCTTCACCAAACACTTTCATTCGAAATGGAAGTAAA